AAGGCGATCCAAGGTTTTGATGTATTTTTGGCCCCATATTGAGTACTTCCTGCGTGCACTTTGTGTGTAGTGTGTGATAGTGTGTCTATGTGATAGGCGAGGCCGTGCTGCAGTTTGGATTAACGCTGTGTTTACGTTTTGAGGAGATAAGTTTGTGCCAAGCCAAATAAGAGGGGAAAGGACTCGGTGTGTGTGTACTTACAGTGTGAAGACTTCTTTGTGTGTGACTGTATGAATGAATGGTTACTATTGTTGTTGTGTGTACACAGTGTCTGACAGGAGAATTACTGTATAATAATGAACAAACTGGCAGAGGAACGAGAATCTTTACCTCTTTTAAAGGCAGATTTTGTGGTTCTTGAAAGTTGGTACGATTTCCCAACTCTACAAAGAAGCTCTTTCTTAAGAAGAACAACTGACACTAAGGTCTGGGACTTCTTTTTCAAAATGCTCTTACATCCAATTTTCATCATAAATAAGGATTTTTTTTTTCAAAAACCCAAGATCAAATAGATCTTTATAAAACCTTAACCTGATGTGGACATTATACTCTGTTTCAGAATATGGAGGTTTGAAGTGTGCATCCTCTAAACCCGAGGCAGGTTGTGCAGTCTTTTTATGACCATGTTCATCATCATACATGATCAGTTTAAGATCTGGGGAATTAGCATAATAACAATCACATAACTGTGATTTTAATTAAAAAATAAAAAGTGATATGCTGTAAATGTCTTGGGCTGAGACAACATGACTATTTCTCGATACAATTCTATGCACAATATGGATTTGATTCAGTCACAATACAATTAAAAATTCAATGACAACAATGTATGATTAGCTGCAGAATACTTGTACTTAATTCCTCTTTTCCCCCATTTTCTAGCACTGGTTAGATTATGTAAAGGACAATGAGATATAATGACTCACATTCTGTTAGGCTATCTTATTTACAAAAAACATGATGTCACTGGTGTATGGATACCACATAACATATATACAGTGGGGCAAATAAGTATTTGATACTCCGCCGATTTTTCAAGTTTTCCCACTTACAAAGAATGAACAGATCTGTCATTTTCATTGTAGGTACACCTCAACTGTGAGAGACAGAATCTACAAAACAATTACAGAAAATCACAGTTAGATTTTTAAATAATTTATTTGCATTTTGTTGCATTAAATAAGTATTTGATACAATAAAAAAATAGAACTTAATATTTGGTACCAAAACCTTTGTTTACAGTTACAGAGGTCAGATGTTTCCTGTAGTTCTTGACCAGGTTTGCACACACTGCAGCAGGGATTTTGGCCCACTCCTCCATACAGGTCTTCTCCAGATCTTTCAGGTTTTGGGGCTGTCGCTGGGCAACACAGAGTTTCAGCTCCCTCCATAGATTTTCTATTGGGTTCAGGTCTGGAGACTGGCTAGGCCAATCCAGGACCTTGAAATGCTTCTTACGGAGCCGCTCCTTAGTTGCCCTGGCTGTGTGTTTGGGGTCATTGTCATGTTGGAAGATCCATCCACGACCCATCTTCAATGCTTTTAATGAGGGAAGGAGGTTGTTGTCCAAAATCTCGCGATACATGGTACCATCCATCCTCTCCTCAATACAGTGCAGTCGTCCTGTCCCCTTTGCAGAAAAGCACCCCCAAAGCATGATGTTTCCACCCCCGTGCTTCACGGTTGGGATGGTGTTCTTGGGATTGTACTCATCCTTCTTCTTCCTCCAAACACCGTGAGTGGAGTTTATACCAAAAAGTTCTATTTTGGTCTCATCTGACCACATGACCTTCTCCCATGCCTCCTCTGGATCATCCAGATGGTCTTTGGCAAGCTTCAGACAGGCCTGGACATGTGCTGTCTTGAGCAGAGGGACTTTGCGTGCGCTGCAGGATTTTAAGCCATGACGGTGTAGTGTGTTACTAATGGTAACCGTTGAGACTGCGGTCCCAGCTCTCTTCAGGTCATTGACCAGGTCCTCCTGTGTAGTTCTAGGCTGATCCCTCACCTTTCTCAGGATCACTGATACTCCACAAGGCGAGATCTTGCATGGAGCTCCAGTCCGAGGGAGATTGACAGTCATCTTGAATTTCTTCCATTTTCTAATAATTGCGCCAACAGTTGTTGCCTTCTCACCAAGCTGTTTGCCCATTGTCCTGTAGCCCATCCCAGCCTTATGCAGGTCTACAATTTTGTCCCTAGTGTCCTTAGACAGCTCTTTGGTCTTGCCCATAGTGGAGAAGTTGGAGTCTGATAGATTGAGTGTGTGGACAGGTGTCTTTTATACAGGTAACAAGTTCAAACAGGTACAATTAATACAGGCAATGAGTGGAGGATAGGAGGGCTTCTTAAAGACAAACTAACAGGTGTGTGAGAGCCAGAATTCTTGCTGGTTGGAAGGTGATCAAATACTTATTTCATGAAATAAAATGGAAATAAATTATTTAAAAATCTAACAATGTGATTTTCTGGAATTTTTGGTAGATTGTCACAGTTGGGACGTACCTACAATGAAAATTACAGATCTGTCCGTTCTCTGTAAGTGGGAAAACTTGAAAAATCAGCAGTGTATCAAATACTTATTTGCCCCACTGTATCACTAGTCAAAACAATACATATTGTGACATTTTTGTATTGCAATATATTTAATTTTCGATATACTGTCCTAACCCTAGTGATTTCTATGCCAAATTGGATTCACCATAGCTGCTCTTGCATTACTTGAAACCTTTGTCTGCAATTAGATAACATGTTTTTAGAGTTTTTGTTCCTGTTGCCAAGTAACTTTAAAAGTTGCTCATATGAGAGAGGGATGCTGTCAGAACTAAAATTAGTTAATCTTCATTACTTCAAGCACAGGTGTGTAAGGTATAGCGATACTGTTTTAAACAAGCTTATAGACTTTTAACAAACCAACACCGTGTCACAGTTTAAACAATTAACTGATTAGTCAAATGAAAGAAAATTGGGAATTCTAAGTAACTTTTAAAGAAAAATGCCAAATGCGACCCAAATTCAGCTTCTTAAATGTGAAGCTTTGCTATTTTTCCTTATGTGATAGTAAATAAAACCTTTTTGGATTTTTGACTAGAGTCAATCAAAACCTTTGAGAATGTCATCCATTGACGGTATATATGACGGACATTCTGACAGCTTCCATAAATAAAGCCACTGCGAATCAATCGCCCCCTGGTGGCTGTCTGCAGTATAGGTCATAAATTCTGCCTCCTCCATGTTAGTGGGATATGAGCCAAACTAAAACTCAATACATTTTTCCCAGATGTGATTTCTGTCAAATTCCTGACATTTTATAGATGACATGCTGAATCAAGAAAACAATATATAGATGATTTGATAATAACAGCAGTTAGTTGTAGTCCTAAAGTATACAATGTGAAATTATGTAGTAATTATGTTGAATTATTATTATTATTACTTTTTTTTTTTATAAAGAAAATGACCTTTTGGGTTTAATAACCAGTTGAAGCTCCAAAAACTGCTTCTGGTAGCTGCAGATCAGAACTGAGGGTTCAGTTACTTTTTCTTAACACAGTATAGTGCACATAGAATTCTCTGTGCACATGCTTGTATATTTGTGCATTTGCAGGCATGTGTCTTTGTAATTGTATCCATGTGGTCTAGCCGGCTGTCAGTCTTGATAAGGCCAGTGGTTGGGAGGTGTTAGTCGATGCTGCTGCTTGCTCGGCCTCCGTGTGGTGGATCTGCTGAGAATGAGCCGAACCATTAGACACGCTGCAGTGACTACAGAGAGAAGAGTAGGAGTGGGAGGTGGGGAAGGTGGGGAAGGTAGAGATGTATGGTGAGAAAGGCTGGGATGGAAAAAGAGAGTGAAGGAGATGCGAGAATGAGGAGTGGGTGGGTTGGGGGTGAGTGCGAATGAGATTGGGAGAGAAATCAGATAGCCCGACAGGCAGAAGGAACAGTAGGAAGTAAAGAGAGGGAGGGGAACATAGCTGGGGAGGGAGAGAGGGTATGGAGTGAGAGGTAGAGAAACTGAAAAGGATGAGGAGGAAGCTAAAAAATATAGTAGGTGTGGAGTGAAAAGAAGAGGGTGTTAATGACCAACCTCACAGAATAAACGTGAATATCACTACTTGGTTTGCACATGTGAACCACCGAACATTGTTAAATAAAAAACACTGAGACAGTAAAGTCTCTCCATCTCTGTTGTCACGTTTTTCCTCTGATTCCTAATTTTTTTGGTCCTCATGACCTGTATTAATATTCTACTATCTACTAATATTCTGCTATCCACTACCTGTTCTCCTATTCTAAGTAACATTTGTCCTTTCTCCCCTATCTCCCATTCTTTTAACACATTATATAGATGTAGTTTACACCCAAAAATTACAAAACCAAGTAGAGTAACAACCCAGCATGCAACACTAATAGATAATATATTTACTAATGATATTGATAGCAAAATGTCAAGTGGATTACTTATAAATGATATTAGTGATCATTTACCTGTATTTTTGGTTTATGACTGCCAGTATAGAAAAGAAAGGCCAAAAACAAATCTTTTTTATAGGAGGGTGATGAATGAACATGCCGTAAGGAGGCTAAAACACTTTGTAATAATTCTTTAGTATATTACTTGTGTGGTGTAGAAGAGAATTATCTATGTAGAGATACTGCTTGCAAACCAATGATGGTAAG